CTTCAAAGTGCTCTTTCTTCTCAAAAGCCATTGGCCATATGTGGGGGTTCTAGAGCAGCTTTTTTAAGACTGGTTGCTTCAGGTTCAGACTTAAAAAGTTAGAAATGCAGCTCTATTACACAAATGATAAAAAGTTGAATAAAAGCTGAAGCTTAAGTCAACATCTCACATTCTTGAAAAGAATGCCAATTTAAAGAGAGTTTCTGGATGACTGATTTTTCCACAACAAAGCAAGCTTAAAGCTCACATTTTAGAGTGCCTAACAACTTGCTAAAACAATTTCCTGGTTTGTGAACATTACAATATGTAGGACACCTAGAAATCATCTCAGAATACAGATTTTCTTCAGCAATACTCCCATTCAGAATAATTATTGTATATATATCTAAGAAACTTACACTTTCATTTCTTCATGCAACTGAATTTGTTAAAATTAGACTAGTGTGATTAACACACACTCAAGCCAACATTGCTAGAACAAACACATATGTGTTTCTCACTGAGAAGGCTCTAAAATGATTTTGTTTCGATCACAGTACAAGACACACTGCAACAACACATTTTTTGGAAAGCATTCATAAAGATCAAGGGGCTAGGGAGGCTAATCTCTGTAGGTCAACAGAGTTGAAGGAAGAAAAGAGAATCCCATAAGAAATTATTCACAGCAAATAAAAGTAGATTCATTTTCTGAACTGCTTCCTGGATTCCTCTCTCTCTCCTTGGCTGTCCAGGGGAAGTCAACTCTGTGAAGCCTATTTGGAAATTAATAGACATAACTTTGAGAATGCTTACTTCTTCAGTAAAGTTTAAGACAAATCATTCCCGTCTCCACTGTAAAACAGCAGTGTGTTTTACAGAAAATAATGTTCCTACTGAAATTTGCCTGGAAACTACTTTCACAGAGGATAAATACACACCTACTGCAAATAAGACCAATCATGAACATTATAATACAGTCAGACTTTTTTTTTAATTTGCATCCAATAGCAGCTGGTGCTGCTATTGTACCAAAGTGTTTTAATTCCTTTGCACTATGCAGAAAGAATGTGTATCCAAAAGCAAAGATGGCATTCAGGATGTGGATACACATTTTAACGCATCTCCGCTGTGTTCAGTTGTTCCTTTACTCAATATATTTTTTCTTGCAAATACTTTAGTCACTGTAATAAAGCTTGTAATGGAAAAAATAAGTTGTATTTTCAGACCTCTCAGAATTAGTTCAATGATGAATGAATCACCTCCAATATTCCAAAAATAAAATCTTTTTATGTTTGCTTTCTTAAAAACAATAGCTTGCATGTTTCAGAGAAGTGATATTTTCTGTAATTGAATACTGTGTTTCCAGTGATGTTTTTAGCCTCCTTAGTCGCAACTTTTATAAAAATGGATTAAATGGAATGAGAAAGTGACTGAGACACACAGATATATTGGTTGCTCACTGTTGTTCCCCAGTTCTGAGATACTAAAATAAAACGGCTTGTCTAAGAGGCAAATGTAGGAGTGGAGACTGATGTCTGGAAAAAACACTGAAATAGCCAAGTAAGTATCTCTGAAAGTCAGAACTCAGATGGCCATTTAAACTGAACATGGGTGTAGAGAAGCTCAGCAGAGCAGCTTCTGGATCCAAAGTACTTATACATTAGGGAGCAGGAGAGTAAGTATTGTGTATGCAGTATTGCTTCATTCCAAAAGCAACAGGAATGATTGAGAAACCAGAGAAAGAGATGCAAAAGGAAAACAGAGAGAATGCTGAGAACAAAACTCTGTCATGAAAGCTCAATTAGCATAAAAATTCACTAACAATCAGTAAAAGATTCATTCTATAGTATTGCTAATGTCTTATAGCTGCTAAGGACTGTATTTTACAGCAGTGATATTAGAGAAATTATACAATATGTTATATTTGTAAAGAAATGGATGCAAGAGAGTGAAAATCTGAGTTTTGTTTCAAACTGCGCTAGCTGGAAATCTCTCAGGAGCCAGGTACGGGTCTAATTCTAAAGAATAACCGGTAATTTAGTTGTCTTGGCACAGTGAAAGGAAGTTGATAACAAAGAAATGAATCTTCAACCTGGGACTTGAAGAAGTGATTGGGGAACCAAAGGGAAAAAAAGTCATACTGAAAAAAAAAGCTGAGATCCAGTTTACTTGGGATGCTGATCCATAATTCACTAATATCGAAAGATACTGTCTCAATCACTAGCAGAGGGAAGACTCTTGTCAAACAGATGCTTTGAGCACTTAATTATACTAGTAACAAGGCTGATCCATTGCACAGAATGAGATTTCAATGCTGCCACAGTATTCTCACCAAGAGGTAATTTGGGAACAGGACTCCTAGCAGCTAACATTAAACAGGGCACACAAATATACATATAGATATGTGTATACGTACGTGGAATGGTATGCATCTGCATATTACCTCGCGTGAATACATCTACTATTTTGAATTTTCTGTAACAAAATGTTTCTAGATCATTAGTGATGGATACAAAAAATAAAATTAAATCCTTCAGCACTACATTTTGCTTAAGGATATTTCTTTAGCATCTTGACTCACATAACTTTCCTGATCCTTCATAATTATGAGACAGTGATAGGATATACAGGCTATATCCAAAATGACAAACTAAATTGTGGGCTTTTTCAAGCTGTGAGGATAGCTCCCACACAGCATTGGACTGGGACACAGCAGTCTCTCAGACAATACCCGGACACAATCTAAGCAGCTGGTTCAATCATGTCTCCAGGATGAAGGACCACCGCCTCCCTAAGATCTTGCTTTATGGTGAACTTGCCACTGGCTGCCGCATGAGAGGAGCCCTGAAGAGGAGATACAAGGACTCCCTGAAACAACATCTCAGCCTTGATCAACATAACTGGTCTACTCTGGCCTCCAATCGGGAGATCTGGAGACACACTCTCTGTAACGCTCCTGCTTCCTTTGAGAACGCACGCAGGATCACTCTCGAGGAGAAAAGACAACGCAGAAAGAACCGTGTCTTGCCGATACCATCCAAGGAGTCTTTCTGCTCTGCCTTTTGCAACCGGACTTGTCTATCTCACATTGGCCTCTTTAGCCACCAGCGCGCTTGTAGCAAGTGTGGGTAGAGCCCTTCACAAATCTTTGTTAGCGAAGCCTAGCCATGATGATGGAGAGAACAGCCCTGGGCACATTTAATTTATCAGTACAGATGCAGCCATGAAGTAGAGGTTACATCAGTAATTTGCATTCAATATTATTTTGAAAAGATTGGGAGCTTCTTTCTTATCATGTATACATTATACTGCTTACTACCAAGTAAGCCTCCTCGAGTGGCTTCTTTTTCTCCTGCTCTGAAACTATTATGGTAAATTAGAGAGTTAATAAGAGAGAGATGTATGACTACTTCTGGTTTTGTTTACATTTTTGAGAAATGCCCTTGTAAAGTCATCAGAAAGTTTATGCTGGCAGTGAAAACTGACATAATCTTCCCACTCTTCATCAGTAAAATATTTTCTAAAGGCTTTAAACCATATGCATACTATGCTTAGCTAGAAAGTTAAAATATGATCTTGAATATAAAAGTGAAATTATCTCTTAAAGAAAGCTGAACACCAGTACTTATTAGATTTTTGCTTATCCTAATAAAGTTAGAAGAAAGTTGCTATAATGAACTGTTTTGATAATCTTATCCTTCAAAAAGAATACTTTGGTCTTAGGATGTAAAACTTGTCATCAATAACTATAAACACCTAACCTAACTGTCAGTTACTTCCAAGGCTCTCTGAGAAACCTCACACATATAATCATATTCGTATATGGTTTACACAACAAACTTATTTTGAAGTTTCTGAGAAACATTTTGAGCATACAATGAACCACAGAAGAGGACTTGTACCAGTTTGCACACAACTGAGGGAATCCTTTCAACATTAAGGTACCCTCTCAAAAAAACCCAAAAAACAACACAAAAAGTCTTGCATCTGAAAGCATAAAGATTCACAAAGTCTATATTGTTATTTCACAAGGAATGAATTAATATAATACAAAGTTTTTTGACAGCTTTTAAGAGAGTGTAAAAGTCTGTCATTTTGTATGAATAGGTTATTTGGGGTTTTTTTTGATTATATTTTGTTAGCTTGTTTTGAGTCTTAGCTGGTGTAGCTTTTGATTCTTAGGTCTGAAAACTCTTTTGGTTTAAGTCTGTAGTTTTTCCTTTTTTTTTTTTTTTTAACTGAATTTGCTAACATGTATCCTCAAATTTGGTACTATAGACTTCCATGACAGGAATTTTCCTAGATTTGATTTATTGCATAGGCAAAGTGTTCTGTATTTAAAATAAATTCTGCCTCATTTATATTCATGACTTTTGTCCCCCCAAAATGTGAAGGTAACTGAAAAGAAATATAACATTGAGTAAAAAATGGTAAGTAAAAATTTTTTTTATTTCTTTAGTTCCAGATGCAATAAAACTGGAAATTAGCTTCCCTTTTTAAAAAGCATCTGTCACTTATTCCTACATACTTCTGCTTCAAAAAACAAGTATTTCTTTGCCAATATACAACTACCTTGGAGATAATTTTGCCTCTGAGGCAAAATTATCTTTAAGTTCATGACAGAGGAAAAGGCATAAATGTATTATTTAAAATGCCTTAAACAGTGGATCACAGAGTAGCCCTTCATTCTGTTTTACTAGGGAAAATAGATGGAATTGGAAAAGCTTTCCAAACTTAACACATTTAAATGTAGATAAATAAATCTAAATCTAGAAGTCTTTTCCATGTTTGTTAGCCACTTATTGCTAGACCACTTCACTGAGGCAACTTGAAAGTATAGTGACTGGTTTGACAAATGAACAGCTTCATCTGACGACCCAATAATTAACCATTAAAAGAACATATATAATACAGGACAAGAGATCAAATGCTCCAGCAAGAAGTTCTGCTCAACAAAAAGGGTTCAGTACCATAGCACATTCATTAACTTAAGTAATGGATATCATTAGGAAGGTACTTACATTAGGTCTTAATCCTGCTGCCATTTCATAATACTTCTCTGCTTCTTCATTAAGACTGGCTTGTCTATCAGGACAGAAAAAACCAACAGTTACATCTCATTTTCCTTGGGTTAAGAAAAACCCATACCTAAAGAAACATAGCTAAAATCAAAACACCGCAACTACCTTTCTGTTTAAGGATATTACCCTAAAAAATGCACAAAATATGTAAATATAAAAGTTTTCTTATAGTTCAGAATGTCCATTAGCACAAATCCTCTTTGCCTACCTCATTTTCTTTTTTAGTTCCGAAAAGATATTAGTACACATTAGAAAGAAATACAGAAAGCTGAATACTCATCTCAGACAAAAACAGAGATATATGTCTTCACCAGAGGAAAATCTGACTCATTTTTTGTAATCAGACATACTTTAAATTCAGAAACTGTAAATTACACAATAATGCAATTTCTCACGTTGTACCTCCCCAAAACCACTATCATTCCAGTAAAAAAAGGAAAAAAAGTCAGATAATACAATGATTTCTGAAAACTAGGTTTCCATGGTTGAAGGAATTCATTCAGAAAAGAGTTCCAATTTCATCATTTACTCACATCATTCTGAGAGGGGATTTAAACTTAGATCTCCTGTTCCAGGAGAATGAGTTTCTGGGTACCTGAAGCACTATCAGCTCCACTGTTTTTCTTCTCTTTACTAATATAGACAGCATCTACATGGTCCTAGTAGTTTACTTTTTATTTCTTCTCCTGAGTTTTTAGTTTAATATCTTCAAATGAAAATGCAATTTGTTGCCAAAGGAATCCCAACATGTTTTTGTCTCAACAGGCCCTTTTTATCTCGTATCTTAAATTCCTGTCTTCTCCTTTTGTCTCCACCTTCTTAATTTCCCTCCAACTATTCATTTTGTCTACCGGTCCAATGAGTATCAGTTGATCACATACATGCCATGAGAAAGATGGTAAATCTGTAAGAACAACCAAGCATGACTTTCAGGTAGGCTACATATCTTCTGCTAAAATTATTTCCTTTTTTCCTATGAAGGGATAGGTCCTTTCACAGGAGAGTTAGGACAGATCTTCAGCATATTTGTGTTTGTTATGTGATTACATAACACAGGTGCATTTCTGCAATACGAATCGAAAAATTAGACAACAGAATAACACTGAGTAGGGTTGGCTGTCTGATTTTTTATCCTTTTTCTTCTTCTTTTGAGAACAGTTACTAATTTAAAGAATATCAATCAACTGAGCACTTGTGCCTGGAGAATTTACCTTGTTAATTACATGAGCCTTTACATGCTTTGTTATTCAGCAATCAAACTGTGTTCTAATTTTATGTTCCTATCCACCCAGATTTTAAACATTAGCCACTTAATACACGATAGTCAATTAATCCTGGTCAATACATTTTGACAGCTATTGGTCTTGGGAGGAGAAGGGGAGAAGGATAATCCCTTTGAAATTTCTCACATAATTCCTGTGCAAGCTGAAATCACTTCCTGAGTAACAATTGCTAAGTAGAACCTGGTTTATACCTGTTAACTGTTTTAAATTACTTTCCATATGTATCATTTACTCAGTGGTTGCAGTGTTTAGAAATGATTGAATGCCTAAAAATATTAATTCAACCTGCTTCTGAATTGCTCCTGCTGGGCATCAGTAGCACTTGAAATGACTGGAAAAAAATATTCTCAGACTTATGAATTTCAGGATTTACAACAAGGTGCTATAAAATGAAACATGTTACATAGCTTTTTTTTTTTTCCCTGCTTGCATGGAACTGTCAGGACAAAAATCACTTCTGAACATGGTGAAATAACGTACAATAAACAAGGTTCCTTACCCAGGAGGCAAATACAAATGGTACACTTCACCTCCAAAAAGTGTTGTTGGCATGTGAATGTAGAACACATTAAAATCCCTTTTAGCTCAGTGGAAATACATGGTTTGCTTTCCTCCCATGTGTACACCTTGAAACACGCATCATTAATTGCTAAGTTGAAATCAGTTTGAATGTATAGTTTTCCATTAAAAACAGTTTATAGAAATGCATGCATAACACGGTAACCTGGTCAGGAAAATGCCAGTTCCACTTCTGGGGCATTCAACATCAGTTCCCTTACTTAAGGTGCTTCAGAATTCTGGATCCCATTTTCACTGCAAATCTAAGCTAGAAATTCATTATGTTAAGCTCTGAAATAGCTTTCCCTTGAGAAAAATTAAAGGCACAGAGGTAGGAAATTGCAGTAACCAACCCTATGCCACTGAGCAGTAAAGAGCTCTGGATCAATGTCAAATAAGGGAAGGACACTACTAAAGGTAACATAATTCACATTAGAGTAAAATATTAGATAAAATGTTGATAAAAAAAAGGAAAGGAAGGAAAGGGAGTAAAGAGAAGTTCAGAAGACAGAGTCCTTTTCATAGTCATGAGATATATTTCAACCTCTGTCCTAAATCTTTTCACGAGGACTGACCTTGAAAACACATCTGATTTCCCCTATTAGCACTTGTTTTAAGGGACAAAAATGTCTTCTCTTTTTGTTCTCTGATATCTCTTAACCCAAGCCTCCAGACCAACCAATTCTCTGTATTCTGTTCCAGCTGATTGATGGTGACACGTCATAAATGTGCTTGACAGCACATCACTTAGATTATCCTGACACCCAGTTTACATTCATTTTGAATCTTTATGTAGATCACTGGAAAAAATATTGTTGTAAGAGAAAAACACCACCAGTGCTGACTGGTTTAGATATATAAACATGTGAGTGGGAAAGCATTAGTTTTAACCTGCCTGTTGCTTGGTACAAGGCTTCAGACTGTTGACTATTTTTTCAGTGAAATCATGGATGCCAGCCCAGCTACAAAGAAGTTTCCTTCAGAGATTCCTATTTTTAAATACTGAATGTTGATACTTGGCATTCTTAATAGATTTTTTTGTATCACAACAAAATCATAATCAGGTTTTATACCTCTAACTGTTCATACACATTTTTAATTTAAAAATTTTATATAGACTATATGCTTTGCCATACATACATATATATAATTAAGCACATAGGCAGCAATTAAAGAATGAATATAAACTGTTGAGACAATAACAGAGGGTGAAGTTGTGCCTATGAGACTGTCAGCAATTTGAATACTTTTACAGAAATTCACTGAGAAACAAAGACCATGTCATGTAATATTACTCCAATTTAGACTTTTTTTCAAACAGTCAACAAACATGCTATAACTTCATGCAATATGAGAGTTTCCCAGAATAACCCACTTACAGAAGCATGAAAAAACTAATTATTCCTATAAAAATAGGTCTTCTTCCTAAGTTTGTTTTCATGTGAAGACAATGTGAAGCTCTTTTCCTGTTTCTAATTAGTACAGCAGTGTCACCCCACTGCCATCCCTCATTCTAAAAATAATCCTCTCCTAGACCCCAGGAAATCTAGCTCATGGCAGCTCACTTAGTACAAAACTTAAAAAGTGAAACTTAGCACTTGTTAATGCACGACTTAGTCACTGAAGGTACAGCATTACAAAGATGCTTCACTGCATTTCATTAAAATGTATCTAGCTTTTCTGAAGGGCTTCAAATTCCTATAAGAGCACTGGAAATATTACAAAAGTAAAACACATGACCAGATACTGGTTCAAGTACCACCCAAAGAGCTGCATGACCTTGAAGAAAGCTGTCTGGAAAACAAATTTCTTGAGATAATAAATTTTACAGGCAAGTATTATGCAAGTTAAAAGTTACCAAACTGTTGCAAAGAAATGAATTACAGTCATCCCACATCTCACCCCTCTTACAGATGACTTGATTCATCTTGCATTGCATTATCAGGATGCTACAGAAGTCATATAGGGAAAAAACTATGTGCTATTAGGAGCAGGGAGGTCTCTCAATAATGCAAACAGAACTAACTCATTTGTTAATTTTTTTACTTCAGATTCACTCACAAAAAAAGGAAGTAAGCAATGTTGGATTACCTGACACGAGGAGGAGAAGTTCTTGTGACTTATAAACTGAGAACAGGCTATCTATAAATACAACTACTGCATTTGGAGCCAGTTAACAATTGTGTTGCAAATTTAAGAAAAAGAAGATTACCTTGCAGCATTCTAGTTCAAAATTTTCAAAAGTTGTAAATTTTTATAGAAGTTGCATTTTAATTTAATTTGTTTTTTCTCAGAGAGTAAGGGGATTAAAAAAAAAGGAAAATATTTTAGCACTAGAGTAGAAAAACAAATTGAACTTTGAAGGAATATTGTGATTAGTTTCCATCCAAAACAGCTGTAAACCAAATTTGAAAGAAGTTGTATGTGATACTGAAAAAATGTCTTCATGTTTCTCAGTCTTGTGACATTCCTTAGGCTAATGGTGGAAACAGTAGTAAGAGAGGAGAGAAAGATAATTCCTTCCTAATTAAAAAATACATCACTGGGTAGAATATTTGTTCTGAAAAAAAAATTAGAATCTATACAAAAATCTAAGCTGCTGTTATTATCTTGCAGTCATTTTGGAAACCTTGCATCATCCACATTAGTATCAATTTCTGTCTCTTAGTCCACAACACATCTTTAAAATTTATCCCATCTCACTCACCAGAGTCAATTAATTTTCATGCTCTATGAACTTCTATAATGTGTTTTCTACCTCACAGCTGTGCAGTTCATTCAAAATTCTTACTCACTGGTCAGTTTTTGTAGCTTTCTAGAGTACCTAAAGAGCAGTTGGTCATCTATGTGAAATTATTTCAGCCTTTTATTTATGACTGCATTTAGCATTCACAGTTCCTAGCTGTGTCACTCTCTGCCAGTTGGTTTATTTCCTTCTTTCCTTCCTCTTTTGTGTCTTGGTATCTGCTTTCCTCTTGGAATCACCTCAGCTCTCCGTTGTTCTAAAGATCCTGAAAATCAGCTGCTTCTGAAGTCCTGTAGACTCACAATGGATTTGTAGCTGCTCTGTTCCAATGAATGAATACACATTGCCCTTGTACAACAAGTCCTACAGAAGCAATATATTTAAATCAATTGCTAAGTAGAGCAGTGAACAAGGACAGACAGCAGAATCATAACCTTTCAGCAAAAATCAGTCAGATGTGAACACATGGGGGTTTTAAGCAAATGCTTAGCAGCACTGAATTTAACTTTGCCACCCTGCTCTTGCTAAATCCTCCAGACTGTTTAGACTCCCAGAGCATATCAGGAAGACAATTACAATCTTCCACAAAGAGAACTGAGCATGTAAGTGAAAAATTAGACCAACTGGGTATCCCAAAGCAGTACAGTGGATTCTAGCTAAACTAAAACAGGCCCCTTTTTTAAGGGTTTTGGTTTGGTGAGTTTTCTTTGTTTCTTTAGGTTTTGGCTTCTTGCTTACAGTAAAAATAGAGAATGCATCTTAGAATCACTGAGCTCAATGCTGGTCAAGGTGCCCCAAAAACAATATACTCCCAATCAGATCAAGTAGGTTAACCATGGCTGATGTGCAGCAGCCACATAGTACAGCAGCATTGCTGTTACTTTAAAAGTGAAAAAATACTCATATCCAGATGTAAACAAACATGCCTTCAAGACTTTGGATGCTTTGCTCAGTGCTCACAGAGAAAGTGAGAGATTTATTAAACCTATTTCCAAAATAGTATTGATCTACATCATCATATTTTAAAATACACACAATCACATCACTTAAACTTATCTTCCACAACACACTCATTGAAATCAGGACTCTGACACCCTCTATACCCCTCTGAATTCAGCTGCTTGCTATGCTTTTGTCTGTGAATTTGTAACATTGATCTAAATGTTTCAAATTACTGAACTCTGTCTTAAGAGATATCATTCACAAAATCAGGAGAAGGCAAGGATCCTTAAAACAGCTCATATACCTCAAACTATTGTTTACCAGTGAACCATTTTTCTTGGTTTCCTTTCTAATCTACAAGCAATAAAAGTTATTTTTCTAAAGGTGTTTTGGGGCATATTTCAAAATCATGGTATAGAAACTGTAATTCTGAAACTCGGGTCACTTGCCTGAAGCCAATTCTACCGTCTCTTTTATACCATTGTCCTTCTCTTTCATACAATTTTCCTTTCCTTTCCTTTCATTTCATTTCATATTTAAAATGTTAAAAGTATAAACAGCCTAGTGAGATATTTTCATCAGAGAAATTATTTCAAGAACTGTTTTGTGCTAATGAAGTATATTTTTTTATTTCCTTTTTCATGTATTTTCTATGCTTAGATATCATCTAAATGAAATCAAGCATCCTTATAGCTGTTAAGCGGACAATAGACAATAATTGGATAGTTATCCTAGAAATAAGCATGGAGGATACCTATTACAGTAATGTGAGTTTAATGATAATGTTAAACTCACAGATAGCAGCTTAATGTTACTGAATAACCTGGTCTGTCAGCTTGAAAAGCTAAAAAAAAAGTCTAAAATTAAATTCTATTCAGATAGAACAGAATTAAATATAAGACTACATTTTAAATCACAGATTCTGAGAATACCACTAAGTGCTCCTATGAGTCTCAAAGTCATTACTAGCCTGGGAATATTTAAATTTCTAATTGCCGTAGTGTTCCCTACTAACAGAAATTTTCAATACTCTCTATTAACATCTAGAACACAAATATGGTCTCATCTTTTCACACTAAATTTTTAAAAATCAGGAGAAAGGAAATCCTGCAGAAAGTTCTTCACAAAAGAAACACTTATTCTTCTATGCAAGCAAAATGGATTACGTACTTGTAAACTACAGAAGTTTTGAAGGTAAGAAATTATGAGATAATACACAGAAAATTAGAAATGGAAAGTGCTAAATCCTGCAACAGTTTCATTCCAGTTCTTTGTATCTTATTAGCAATATTGAATTATTCAAAAGAGTTGCTGGGCTTTAAAAAGAATCCTGCATAAGCAAAGGCTATAAATACTTTTTTCCTCCAAAATAAGAGAGGAAAATCCAGTGAGGCAGATGCAAAAGCACTAACCTGAGCATATGGGCTGCATTGAAAACAACATCAAATTCCATATTATCGAGTTCGGCTGCCTTTTTTGCCATTTCAGCTGCTTCTATCAGGCGGGATTCTTCAAGGAGGAACTGACCTGCAACGGAGTGCATGACCATGAGCCCACAGATAATAACTGATGTAATATACTACAGACAGTATAGTTAGGAAAAGGAATTACAAAAAAACCCAACAAACTAACAAATCAACCAACAAACAGTTGTCTCACAGTCAATATTATTTATTGATTTGCTCTGTATTTCAGCATCCTCAAAATATAGCCAATGTAGAAAAAAATGCAATAAATATGACAGGTAATGACAATATTTGTGGAACATATTTAGGAAAAGTGAGAATAATAGAGTAAAACTCAGCCATCAAGAAGTAATACTTCCAATCCCCAAGAAGCCTGACATTTGAGAACTTGCCTTTCTGCCTATACATTGATCTTCATTTCCTCAAGACAAATTGAAGTAAATAACATCTACAAATCAAATACACTCCCATTTTAAAAGCATATCTCAAAATCATATAAAAAGATACATTTTTATATATATCCATGAGAACATATTTCTTCAGCTTTAGAATTATAAATGATATCAGCATTAAAATTATTATATATATGTATACCTTGACAAACTGGTATTTTATCATGTATTGCACTAACCCAATAGGTAGCTTTTTACAAGTTTCCTACATGACACTTACCTTTTACATAAAAAAAATAAATAAAGATGGCTAAAATGAAGAGACTGATTTTTTACAAATGATGCTGTCATAATCATTAAACCAAGTTTCAACTGAAAAGAATGAATAATTTAAGACTAAATAAACTTTAACTGAAGTACAGTAGTTTCAAAATGAAACATATAAGACATAGCAGAACTCTATAAAAATGAGTTTTCCTTTGATGAAGATGAAAAAGAAATTTGGAAGATACTTAAGCAACCTCATTTTCTGCTCTTTTAAATGATTTTTTCATTCCTAATTCGTAAAATGCATTATTTTTGCAGCAACTTTTTAAAATATTTCAGCCATCTAGACTCTGTGTCTACATAACTTTGGAAAAGCTATCAAGGATGGTGATTACAGATTCCATCATCCCATCCTTCTCTTTTAAATTTATTTTGTAACGTTAGACGACTCAACCAAAAATTGTCCGCCATGCCATCACTGACCACCAGCCTCCTCAGAAATAATATGCCATGAGCAAACGATTTCCTCTCATAGTGAGGGATTTTCTCTTTTTTTGTTTCCTCCTTTCCTCATGCATTCCCTGTTGCTCACATGCTTGCTATATGCTTATGCAAAAAATCCAGTTAGCCAGAGCTAGCAAAGTCTGTACAAGCCTAGTGAATCCGGTGATGCTTTGGTACAACAAAGACATTTTCAGAAGGAATAATCTTCAGGACAAAAAGCGATGAAAGACAGCTTTCTTAACTTTTTGTTTTCTCTGTGGATACATTTCAGCTTAGGAGAGATGGAAGATTATTTAGTCAGACTCTTATATCTTAATTATTCATATCTGCAAAACTCTTGTAAAAACATTCTGATGCCTTCCTGCATTCACAGTAAAAGGTTTGCTTGCTTTAGTTACATCCACACTCTAATACATGCTATATTTTGATGCAGTATGAGGCTTTGTGCTTATTGTGCCCAGAAACAGATGATTTACAAAAAAAATTTTCTCACACCGAACAATAAGTAAATAAATAAATAAAAAGAGAGGAAAAATATAAAAGAAAACCTTTTGAGAACAGTTTGGACCACAGAAAATTAATTTGTCTTCAGAATTAGAAATAATGGGTTGAACCATTAGTGGAACTCTTTTAGGAAGGGATAACAAATGCTTACAAAAGCAATAAATTTGTTTCCTTTTTTTTTCTTTTTTTTTCCCCCTCTTTTTGGGTACAACATCAGGATATGCTTTATGTGTAGCAGGACAAATTCAGATTTGAATCTGAAAATTCTCCAAGTAAAGCTACCAACTACAATAGACAGTTCATATCTCTTGATTTGGGCTGAGTTCCTATTTTCTTTAAAGAGAAATCTTTGAAACAAGTTTGACCAACCAGTATTCCAATTCTCTTCCAACAAATGAAGTAAAGCAGTATCCCTAATCTTTAGGTTCATGTTAAAGTGAACGAACCATAAATTGTTAACATAAAGGTTCTTTTGTTAATGACAGCCCTGGATTAGCAGAATGAAACACTGGTAACTGGATGTACTATTAATAGATTCAGCCAGAGGGGAAAAGGAGGACATAAGCTTTTATATTTCAAGACAGTGAACATTCAGGAGAATTCTCAAATAAATATATACTTGATTTAGGAAAAATTTTTTGCACAATTTAAAAATAATGTCAACTGCTCATTAGGTAAATTAATTACATAAGGAGAATAAACCTCTCCTTATTATTGTCAATAAAAAAATTATTCAATGGGTTTTAGAGATAGATCTTTAGAAACATACTTCCAGTTTTCTGTAACACTGAAGCTCAGCAGTGACGTTACCTTACGTAAATTTATAACTACCCCTTATGTAATTTAATAATTTTATATATTTATATAGTTATATGTTTAAATATTTATATACATTTAGTAATTTGTAACTGCCCTTATGTAATTAAATGTAATTGATACATTCCACTTCATGTGATATAATAAAAAATGTTTTTGACTTTAGATTAATTTTATTAAACAGTACAATGCTTGCTCTTCATCCATATAATTTCTAAAAACAAAACATTATTGGAAACCAATTCAAACCAATACTAATGGTTTACTAGTACTCTTAAGCAACACATCAGGTTAAATTCTTAGCTCTTTAAGAGGTCAATAAGATCACATACTGAAGATATTATGAAATTTTTACATGCTTTAGACTCCTACAACATTATATGTATTTACTGAAAAGCAAGTGCACAGCTAGACACTTTAGTCAAAATCTGATTTAATTAATTCTTTTTCTGGGACTTTGGCTACTATTAAACTACATGGACATATCAAAAATGTCAGCAACTCTAAATTAATGCTTTAAATCATTAAAACCAGAATTAGCTCTTCATTTACAACTAGGTCTCTAAAAAGTGTCTCTATAATAGGATTATTATTTTATATAACATATATCTTTATAAAGTCCTTTATTAAAGGACTAACTAAAACCAGTTGCAAATACTGAACAACATGAGCCAAGTACAAGTAATACTTTTGGTTTTCTTGGACTGTGCATTACCATACACAAGTCTCTCCCCTGTACTGAAGGTGATAATAACAGTGGTAATAATTCATGCTGTGTGGGTAGGTAAAAGATGATACATAGCACCCTACTGAAACCAACTGCATCATCCTTTACACCCAAGCCCTTAAAGAGCTCTGTTTTAGCACCAGTTCTCTTCAACATCTTCATAAACAACTTGGACACAGGACTTGAGGGAATACTAAGTAAGTTTGCAGAGATTAAATTGGGAGGAGCTGTTGACTCCCTTGAAGGCAGGGAGGCCCTGCAGAAAGACCTCAAAAAATCAGAGAGATGAGCAATCACCAATGATATGAAGTTTAACAAAGACAAGTGCCGATTCTGCACCTGGGACATGACAATCCTGGATGTACATACAGATTGGGGAACGAGATGCTGGAAAGCAGTGCCACAAAAAGGGACCTGGGGGTCCTGGTTGATGGAAAGTTGAATATGAGTCAGCTGTGCCCTGGCAGCCAGCAGGGTCATCAGGCACAGCACTGCAAGCCAGTTGAGAGAGGTGATTGTCCCACTCTACTCTGCACTGGTGTGGTCTCACTTTGAATATTGTGTGCAGTTTTGGGCACCACAACATAAGAAGGATATAAAGCTATTAGAAAGATCCAGAGGAGGGCTGTGAACACGGTAAAGAGTTTAGAGGGGAAGCTGTATGAGGAGCGGCTGAGGTCAGTTGGCTTGTTCAGCCTGGAGAAGAGGAAACTGAGAGGAGAGCTCATTGCAGTCTACAATTTTCTCACGAGGGAAATGGAAAGGTAGGCACTGACCTCTTCACTCTCATGACCAGAGACAGGACTTGAGAAAATCGTATGAAGCTGAGTCAGGAGAGGTTTATGTTAGATATCAGGAAAAAGTTTTTTACCCAGAGGGTGGTTGAGCACCAGAAGAAAGGAAGTGGTCACAGCACCAAGCCTGTCTGTGTTCAAGAAGTGTTTGGACAACACCCTCTGGCACATGGTGTGATTTTTGGGCCTCCCCTGTGCAGGGCCAAGAGTTGGACTCACTGATCCTCATGGGTCCCTTTCAATGCAGGATATTCCATGATTTCATGAGAGGAACAACCCTTAACTGCCTTAATCATTGCCTGAGCAGAGGGGATTTCATCAGCGGTTGCTGATCAAGCATTTCCCTGTTTGGATGGGCTATAAATATAATTGACTGCAACCTTCTCAATCTAGCGGAAAAGTAAATACCTGAGCATACAGGTGTGTGGTGGGTTGGCCCCTGTCAGCATCCAAGCACTCACACACCTGCTCATCCCCACCCACTCCAGCAGGGTGATGGGAAGAAACAGGAAGAACAAAAGCAAGAAAATTTGCGCGTCAAGATAAAGACAGTTTAATATGTGAAAAAAACAAAAAAAAAAACAAAAAAAAAATCCACCAAACAGCAAAGTGAAGAAAATCACTTGTCACTTCTCACATGTAGACTGATGTTTAGCCAGTCTCCCAACGAAGAGCCACCTCAGAAGCCAAAACCCTTCTTCTTTCTCTACTCCAGTTTTTATTGCTGAACATGATGTTATATGGTCTGTTATATCTATCCCTTTGACCAGCTCAGGTCAGTTGTCCAAGCTGCATCCCCTCCCAACCACCTGCCCATCCACAGTCTACTCTCTGTTAGGGCAGACTAATCAAAAGAGAAATCCTTGACACTGCTCAAGCACTATTCAGCACTGGTGTGTTATCAAGGCTATTTTAGTCACAAATCCAAAACATGGCATCATCCAGGCTGCTATAAAGAAAGTTAATGCTATCCAAGCCAGACCCAGTACAAGGTGGAAACTTTCAGCTGAGAATTGATTTGCCAAGTTCTCCTGAAAGGCATACTAAATTTATTCAC